AGGCATTCCCAGGCCAGCCGAGAGACATAGTCCCTCCAGCATGTCCTGGGTCTTCCCTGGGGCCTCCTCCCGGTGGGACATGCCCAGAACACCTCCCTAGGAAGGTGCCCGGGAGGCATCCAAAACAGATGCCTGAGCCACCTCAGCTGGCTCTCGATGTGGAGGAGCAGCGGCTCTACTCTGAGCTACTCCCGGGTGACTGAGCTCCTCACCCTATCTCTAAGGGTGTGCCCGGCCACCCTGCGGAGGAAGCTCATTTCGGCCACATGTATCCGGGATCTTGCCCTTTCGGTCATGACCCAAAGCTCAGGACCGAAAGGTGAGAGTTGGAACATAGATCGACCAGTAAATTGGGAGCTTCGCCTTACAGCTCAGCTCCTTCTTCACCACGACGGACCGGTACATAGACCACATTACTGCAGAAGCTGCACCTGCCTGTCAATCTCCCGTTCCATCCTTCCCTCACTTGTGAACAAGACCTTGAGATACTTAAACTCCTCCACTTGAGGCAGGAACTCTCCACCAACCTGAAGGGAACAAGCCACCCTTTTCCGACTGAGAACCATGGCCTCCGACTTGGAGGTGCTGAGTCTCATCCCAGGTGCTTCACACACAGCTGCAAACCGCCCCAAAAGCCTGACATTTTCATTTTTTTCTTTTCCCTATTGCCCCCGTTTTCCATTTTATTTTGTGGCCATGGGTCATTGGGCCCGGTTTCCATCAGCCCCCTGCTTCCAACCACAGGCTATTGGCTCAAAAGGTTGCAGAGCGCTCACATTTGAGGATATCATCCATCAAGTGTACATGCAGATGACTTCTGCAGAGAGAGACTTGGACTAACTGATTTTAGTAATGTTCAGGTTTTGAGCCAATATAGAACTCTCTAAAAGGTTTTTAATTATACGATTTTCTTCATATTTTATTTGTTTAATTCGTAGACATTCATCTACAGGTATTAAAATGTTTTTTCCCAAAAAATATTATATTCAGATCTTATATGGGATAAACGAATGGGTCATGGTAAATTAAAACTACACCACCTTCTAGGATATTAGGTTTCGCGCGCACATGGAGGTGAGCATGTGAACAAAAAGGACGGACCCAGGTAGCCGACTTCGGTGCAAGCTGTGATTTATTTATATACAGTGCAGTGAGTCTAACAAACAAAGAGAGTCTGTGGTTACTGCTATGTGAGGAGGAGCCGGGTGTCGACCAGGAGCAGGAGGTGTGGAGAGAAGAGATGGATGGTTAGGACGAGGTGGGCCGAGCTGCGTGGTAGGGTCACCCCTGGACTGGTTGATGGTGGAGTGGTGGCTACTGAAAGGACATAAAGAAGCTTCGGTTATGGCAAAAACAGATGACTGTGCATTGACCTGCCTGGGAGGGAGGAAAAAAGTCACCGTGCAGAGGAAACAGTCCGGAGAGAAAAAACAGGAGCTGACCAGAGGCGTGGATAACCAGATAATCCAAGGCAGTAACGTGGAATATAGCAGAGCTTAAAAAAATGAGGAGAACATCTAGAGAATACGGAGAGTGTAGTGTAGGGACAAGAACAAACTGGCAAGTGAATGAAAGAAGAACCGGGTATAAGTAACAATCTAGTGCAGGTGGTGATAAGGGAGTGAGGAATAGGTGAACGTGATTAGTAATCAGGGGTGCAGAGACGGGGTAATAAAAGTGAGAGAGGCAAGTGCAGCCGGGCAAACCTGACAGATATACATATCACATCTAATTTGGAGAGTGTCTTATTTTTAACAAAACCATAGGGTCAGCCTACAATAGCTAACTGACAGCAAAGTCTGGCTTCACTACGTTGCCAAGTCTTCATTGTCAGTGTACTGAACTAGGAAATTTGTCTCCCTGCTGTATCTTTCACTGAAATGCAGGTTCATACAGGGGCTCCGATTACACCAAATTGATATGATAGAGGATGGGGGAAGCTCTCAAACTCTCTCGAAGATGGCCCAGAAAATAAGAAGCCTATGCATAAGCTCAATGGCATCATATGCTAGAAGGAAGGGCCAGTTTGTTGGAAGTTGCAGGGAGTTTGTGATGCTGGATGAGAGCAACTTTTGTCATAAGCGAAAGGTAGGGCAGACACAATGGATGATATTCTCAGAATGTTAAAGGGAAAATCCACCATAAAATAGAACTACACTGATCTTAGACATTTAAGTCAATATCTATAAAGACAACTGTCTCCCTAAGCTGGAAAGCATCAAGACTTGATTTGTGATCAGAATCAGAATCAGCTTTAATGACCAAGTATGTTGTGCATACAAGGAATCTGTCTCAGGTACAGAGGCTCAGTGAAGCAACTTTAGGGGTACACAATAACAGGAAAAAAGATTAATGCATATTGAATAGCATAAAAACAATCACTGAGATTTATGCCTGAAAATATTTAAAATGTAAAATTTTCATGTTTTTCAGTATGGGTGAGGACGGTTCGCCAGCACCTGGCAAAGAAGAAAGTGGGTCTTTGGGATTTTGGGTGTTGGCCAAAGCTGCAACAGACCCATTTTAAAACTGGTTGATTGTAGGTCCAGATGTCATCTTCTCCCGCTAATTGTGCAACATGTGCGTCCTGGAAGCACCATCCTCAGTGATGAATGGTGGGCCTACAGAGGTGTACTAACCAATCATGGATACACAGATTTTCCTGTTAACCACAGTTGGTGATTTGTTGACCCATTAACAGGCAGCCACACACAGAACCTGGAGAGAGCATGGGCCATATACAAGGGGATGGTATGGCGACTGCGAGGGAACAGGACAGAGGCCCTGCTAAAAGAGCATCTCTTAGTAATTGAGTGGACCTACTGGCTAGCTAACCACCACAAAGATGGTCCTTTGGGAGAATAATTAAGGATATAAGGCACAGGTACAGCTTGTAAGAACACCCTGCTACCTCTTTCTCCATTCCATTCATCCATTCCGTTCCATTTGGAAACGTTTCACTAATCTTCAGTATCTGTGTGATTGCTTCAAATATTCAAGGGTCACAAACAGCAGTAGTACCTGGTTAGTTATGGTTAAAAAAAATTTTTTAGCACTTGTATGCATTTATGAAGTGTTCCTTAATAAATACATGTTTTAGACTTTACAAGGTCACAGAGAACATTAACAAATGGTTAATTAAGGTTAAGTAATGGTTATTCACCACTGTGATAAATTTATAAAGTGTTAGTTCATGCATATATGGTTCCCACTTTACAATAAGCATCACAAAGAGCATTACCAAATGGTTAATTAAAGTTAAGTAATGGTTATTCACCACTGTGATACATTTATAAAGTGTTAGTTCATGCATATATGTTTCCTACTTTACGATAAGCGTCACAAAGAGCATTACCAAATGGATAATTAAGGGTAAGTAATGGTTATTCACCACTGTGATACATTTATAAAGTGTTAGTTCAGGCATATATGTTTCCCACTTTACGATAAGCATCACAAAGAGCATTAACAAATGGCTAATTAAGGTTAAGTAATGGTTACTCACTACTGTTATACATTTTTAAAGAGCATTAATAAATGTGTAATTATGAGTAAGTAATGCTTACAGTATACAATAAGAGCAATCAGCTCAGATGGCTGAGCTGATTGCTCTTAACTTGGCTGTGGGATCACATCAGCTTGCAGTACTCTTAAGCCAGCCGTTGTGTCCTGGACCACAGTGTATGAAGCAACTAGACTGCCAGTGGCAGTCTGATGACTGTGACCATCACAGTACAGTGTTACCTCTAAGCAGAGGTTCCTTATACAAGTTATCATGCAGTCTATTCTCTGTCTGTTTTGCTCACGCAATCATGATCTTACTTAATGTCCATCTGCGTAGCCATGCTTGTTCCCTCACTTGTAAACTGTATACGAGCCTGGTTCAATAGCTGTTGTAAGTTCTGGGTCCTATGTGCAGACAATGTAAAAAGTTTGGAATCCAGAAATGCCCTGACACCATGTGTGGTGTGTACAACAGTTTGATAACCCATTGTGATATGTGAGGTTTTCAGTATCACTCGACCAATTGCAGCAACATGTCTCACACAAGTTGGATGTCCATTTTCAACATTGTCCAACTTAGAGCTGTAGTACATCAACACTTTTTGGTTGTGTCCTCTACTTTCCTCCCCCTTTTGAAATAAGACAGCATTCACAGTGCCGTCCTTTTCATCAACATCCAAATGGAAAGGCTGTGAGTAGTCAGGTGCATGCAAAGCACATGCGTGTGCCAAAGCCTGTTTAATGGCAACCAAAAGCCTCCTCTGCTTGTGGAGTCCACAACAGAGTAGAACCATAGTTCTTGTAGCCCACCTCTGTAAGCATGGCACTGAGAGGTGCCACAAGGCCGGTGAAATTTGGCACAAAATTCTTGCTGTAAACCCTAAGAACTGCATCATGGTCTTAACAGTGGTGGGCTTAGAATGTGAAAGAATATCGGTTTTCTTTTGACTCAGTCATATGCAGGCCAGAAGCAGACACCACATATCCCAGAAAAGAGACTCGAGGTCTCCCAATCTGCAGTTTGTCCTTGGAGACCTTGAAGCCATTCTGGGCTAATTTTGACAGCAAAGATTCAGTGGCTGTCATTATGGTTTCTGAGTCAGGAGCCGCTAACAAAAGGTCAACAACATATTGTAACAAAGTGACATGGAAAGGAACATTTATGCGACCAGTGTCCTCTTTCATTACAAATCCAGCACCTGTCATCTCTTGGTGGACCCCTTCTGAGAGTCCGAGGTCCTTGACTTCTTCCTGCTACGGTACTGAGGTCCACAGGAGCAGAATCCCACTGATAAGGTGGTGCGGTTGGCTGTTGAACAAAGGATTGCTGTTGTGCTGTACAACATTCTGCACAGGCATTTGGTTAGCTGTGGCTTTAATTTGATTAACTTTGTCTTGCATTTCCTTCAACTGCGCTTTAGCTAACTGCGCCTGCAAAGAAGAAAGTTCCTTTGCATTCTTTTCTTGTACGTCCAGCTCATTGTTAACATAAGCTGACCACTGCTCAAAGGTAAATGTGGTGAGTCCCACCACCTGTCTCAGAAGATGCTGTATGGAAGCTCCTAGAGGAGCCACCACAGCACTGCGAAATAGCACCCCCATGGTGTCACTGATGTCTGGGTCCTCACCAGTGTGATTCTGCCAGAGTTCATGCACTCTGAGCATATACTGACTACCTCTCTCACCCTCTTGAGGTGAAATTCTACACATTATTCTACCTCTCGTAACATGCTCAGAGAAGTACAGGCTGTCAAAACACGACGAAAATCTCCAAGCGCAGGCACAATCCTGCACAAGCACCTAAAAAAGCTCTAATCCACGGTGCACCCCCCTTTTCAATGTCAGGCAGCTGGGATTTAACCATGCTCATGTCTTGAAAGCTAAAAGGAGTGCCCTGTCTGCATACGTTGTGATGAGAAATCATGCACTGTGTCATCCCAGCTGGAATCACCACCATATTCAGAACCATGAGACATTGCCGGCACTGAAACTTCACAAAGGTGCCGACTTTCCTCCTCTCTGAATCAGGCAGAAGCACATGCACCAACAACTGGAGTTGTGGACTGGTCTAAACAGCCGGATTTTAACTCATTAGGTAAGTCTGTGCTCTAAGTCTGTCAGTCTTATCTCCTGGAAATAAGGCTGTGTGTAGAATTCCTCTCTGTACAACCACCAGGGGTGCCATGCCATGTGTTGCACTTTGTGGCATCTATCTAGATAAGCCACTTTTTAATATAGGCTTCCGCTCTCCACGTGGAGATTGTGGGGAAGACGGCTGTGTGTGTATGAACTGCACCTTGTAATCGGAGCTAGAATGTGCAGCTGGCACTGGAACAACTGTGCCATTTGGAGAATTAACTTCAACTGGCATTTGTGAATTATATGAACAATTAACTTCAACTGGCATTTGTGACTTATATGAACTGGTTGAAGGAGACTGAGAACACTTAAAATTTCCTAAAAAAAAACATGTACAATCAGCAAGAAAACTCTCAGCCTGTTTCAATTCTTGCTTCAACTTTATTTTTTATCAAAAAGGTACAGTTACTGAATTATGTCTAGCCTTCTCAGCAGCAAGAGAGGCTTGCTTCAAAAATAGTCCTATAGCATCCCCTTGTGGGGGAGGACTGTCACTGTCACTGTCCCCAAACATCCCTATTTTCTACATTTGCTGGACCCATGCAATAAAACTTTTTTTTTGCATTTTCCTGCTCATCTTTAGGAACCATATTCAACCAGAGTACTGACTCCAAACAGTCAGGTTTACACATTTTCCACTCTTGCACAATTTTTACAGACACATTGATAATTATGCACACGTGACTGGCATTTCAACTGAAATGGTCTCTTGCCCAGAACTTTGATCCTTCTACACCAGAACTAACTTCTGATGCACATGACCGCTGGCCACCACCATCTTACCATCCAGGCTCCTCCTGTGACTTCCGCCTTCCCATCGAAGCAAAAAGACAACCATCAAAATTTGTGGTTATCCACTTATTAATGTGGATTTTACGTCTCTGATAGTCATCAATTTCTGTAACTAGGGCACTTATTGTTCTATCCCTCAAATGACAATATGTGCTTGCAACTTTACGTGTGGCAAAAACAGCACTAGCACATTTCGAAATAAAGGTGTTATTTTATCCTTACAATAATCATTCAATTTTTAAATCAGGAATTTACAGTCCACACAGACCAACTAAATTTTGTAAAATCCAACATGCAGGAATGATGTGCAAAAGCCTCCTGCTCACCTGTTATTATTGCCGGCAAATGTTGATCAGTGAGTCTGTTCACTCCCAACTGGAATCCAGCTCAGAATTCAGCCAATTCCAAAGGCCACAGCACCAAGTTGTAATACCCCAGTTCTTTTATTGGACAGCTCTGAATAACGGAGTCTGTCTTTCTTTATTTAGTGCTGATTTATTTTAAACCACAAGCAAAATTACAAACATGACCCGGGTTGTTCCTTCCTCCAGAGACACACACTGGCTGCTGGAGAGAGGAGCCCCGGAAAAAGGAGCCTGATACATTTATCAGTTTTGGGCTAACCCCTTACACAGATAAACCCCAGATGAAGTCAGTCTGCAGACTCCATCTCTTACCTAGTGCTCCACAGGCTTGGAGCAGCTGCGTTTTACCTAGTCATAACAAAATGAGGAAGCTCAATGTGTGTGTATGTTGTCACGTGGTGTGTAGCTAAGCATTCATTCAGACATAATATTCTAACACAAGGTTAATACAGGAAAGAATTGGTCCCATAAGTAACTGTAGCTCACATTTCAGAATCAACACTCTGTCTGCTAACCTTGAAATAAAACAGACTAAAGCAGACTTCTGGAACAAATATTACTAAACTGCATTACTAACACATTTGATTCAACACAATGTTTAATAATTATCTGACTGATTTACTAATATCTACCACACACATCCTCACAAAAGCTGATATAACATGTGACAGTGTCAGTGAGTTCGTCCAAGTTTTGTAGCTGAAGTCTCAAATACACTCCAGTCTGTGCAGTCAAAGCAGGCCTGTAGCTCTGACTTAGCCTCCTCAGTCCAGCTCTTCACTGTTTTGACCACAGGCTTCGCAGCTTTAAGTTTCTGCCAGTAGGCTGCAATAAGATGGACCATACAGTGATCAGAGAGTCCAAGGGTTGCACAGGGGACAGAGCGCTAGACGTCATTTATTGTTGTGTAGCAATGGTCCAGTGTGATTTTGTCCCTGGTGGGAGATAACGTGCTGTCTGTATTTGGGCAGTTCATGGAAGAGATTTGCTCTGTTAAAGTCCCCTAGAACAATCAGAGTCTGGATGTTCTAGCTCCAGGCTAGTTATCTGTACTGCCAGGAGCTGTAGTGCGCTAGTGTGGGCCTGCAGCATTAAATAGGCACCCACCAGGATGAAGCTTGAAAATTCACGAGGAGAATAAAAGGGCTTGCAGTCAATAACAAGAGTCTCTAAGTCTGTGTTACATGTCCTTTGTAGCACTGTGACATCTGTGCACCAGCCTTCATTTATGTAGAAGCAGATTCCACCTCCTCTCGTTTTCCCAGACAGCTCCATTACGTGATCCGTTCTATACATCTGGAAGCCTGGTACTTGTATTGTGCTGTCTGCAATCGATTCCCTCAGCCAGGTCTTCGTGAAGCACAAAGCAGCAGAGCGTGCAAAGTCAGAGTTAAGGAGTTGAGGAGAAGAATTTCATCCATTTTGTTGACCAGGGAGCAGAGATTTACTAGGTGGATAGACGGGAGAGGAGTCTGTGTCCCTCTCTGGCATAGCCTCGCTAAGACGCCCGCTCATTTGCCACAGCAGGTCCCGTATATGGCAGCTGCGCCTCCTATCAGAATGTCTACACAGTATTCTATGTTCAAAAAAATTGGAGAAAGGTAGTTTGGTGTGAGTTGTCCGATATTTAACAGTTCTTCTGGTAAAAGTAATCCGGGATGGGTTGCAAAAGACAGAGAAAACAAAGAAAAACAACAAACACAAGAGAGTACGAGTAACCAAGGCTGGCATCATTGTCAGCACCATCTTCTCTAGCCTATGTTGAGCAGAGAAACTGTGTTGTCAATTTGTGCTTTGTTGCAGTTTTTACAAAAAATAAAAACAGAAGCAGTAAGTCATCACTGAATAACAAGAAACATCACTCCTTGTTTTCATTGGGGAATTACACCCTGTTAGTTGACTGTCTAGCTTTGAACATGGACTACTCATGGTGAGGACAGTACAATCTTAAATGTAACCTGAAGCTCAAAAAATGAGGTGTACATACACTATGTGCTAGTATTTCTATGCCAAAGCAACTTGGTTAAACACGTCTCACAAACTCTCGCTCGCAGGACTTTTTATCTAACAATGCAAAGTCTTATGTGAGAGTTTAAGGATTTCCTTTAATGGCCATAACCTCCAGGCTGCTGCATGCTCATGTGGGTTTGCCTGACATCCACTGATGCCGTTTCAAAAGTGGAATTTTTCCACTGCGCTTGGGTTTGTGGATATATTTTCCCTCCTGCTGCTGCACTCCGACCAGAGGATGTGGAGAAAAAATACAGGGCCTGAGGTTACTGCATGTCCAGGACTGGTCCTGTACAGGGACTCGCTGTTTTACCCGACTTTTTAGCTGCACTCTTGCAGCTCCTTCCTTTAGCTTTTGGTCTGCATCTGCTCTTCATGTTTTGTGCTCAGTGCTGTGCCTCTTACTTACAGCACACAGTTTGTCCAGTAATTAAACTTTTAATAGAGTAATTAGCAAATACAGTTACTTCTCTTACTCTGAAATGTCTGAAATGTTACACAGTGTACAAAGTGTAATTTTGTATTTTATTTATTTTTACATAATTAAAACAAATTAGGTCCACTGCCATTGTTTACAACTGACATAAGTAATAACGGTCTGCAGTTCAGACTTCCAGCCAAGGTTGCCTGTCCACCATCTTGTCATCTGCCAGGTACCCTTGTTTTGACAGACTCTTGTGTTGTACAAAATGTGATCTGTGCACTGAGTTTTCTTAGATGCTGTGTTGTCCCCTCAAAATGTGTTTTTGGAAATGTGCTTTCTGAAATGTCTTTTGTTCAATGTTGTATTTTGTGAAATATTGTGTTTTTCATATAATGAGTTTTGTACCTCAGGGCCATGGCATAAAGCCCAATTCAATGACTATCATTAAAGTCACATACCTAAAATAGATTGTTGCACAATTAAAAAAGAAAGATTATACGTCGTTAATTTGTATAACACAGACAAGTAGACAGGACAAAAGTCAGTCACTTGGTCAATAAGTTGATTTTTGACAAAAATATTTATAAAGGTTATAGTCATTAAAATGGAGGAAGGATATAATACTGTCCTCTGGTGCAGCTTGTGTATCTAAAGGTATTTCTTGTGGTTTATATTTCATCTTCTTTATTTACTTTGCTTTTCTAGCAGCAGGAGTGTCAGGTCTGCTCAGCGTGACGTGCCTCTCTTCCCCTTTCTCTCTCCCATTCTCTCATCCTGCAGGCTCAGCGACACAGCTGAGGCACATCACCTCAACCAGCAGCTTGCTGGGTGTGGTGCACAGCGGAGGCTCTTTCCCGCTGATTAAGCAGCGCCTATTTAACACACTGGCAGACGCTCCATCCTCGCCAGATCATTGACACTGGCATGGTGAGATTGATATTACTCTGCTTCCCTGACGGCGTTCACTACTTTGCTTCTCTGATGGCTTTCACTATTCTGCTTCCCTGACGGTGTCCACTAATCCTCCTGGTTACTGCTGCTCGCCTGTCTACTCACCTGTCATCCTGGTCCATTGATCCTCCTGGTTCCTGCTGCTCGCCTGTCTACTCACCTGTCATCCTGGTTCCTGCCATTCTCCTGTCTACTCACCTGGTCCTCTGATCCTTCTGGTTCCTGCTGCTTGCCTTCCTACTTACCTGTCATCCTGATCTTCTCAGCCTCCATTACTCAACCCTGGTTTGGACGTCGTTAACCCATTGACTTTGTCCTTTCACTGCAAAATATAGCAATAAAGACACTCTCTCACTAGCACTTGAGTTTGCACCCTGAGTTCTCATTCTCTTTCTCTCTCTCGCCCCCTGGTGAGGGACCCGACCGTAACAAGGAGTGTGGCTGGAGGGAAAAGACCAAAGGGCTTTATTGAGGGCAGAACCAAATGTGCATTTTCCTACTATAGATATTCAAATGTCTTAAATGATTTTTAAATATCCATTCTGAGAAAACACTTTTCATGTTACAAGCAGGTTGACAATTTCTTAGAAAATCGCCACTGGCATTACAAACGTCTTGTGCATTATTACTGAAGAACATTTCAAAAGGCTGAAGACAAAACTGCCCATAAAGAAAAGGATGAAAACATTTTCATTTCCTGTTTGAACACTGTGTCAAGTCCTTCTTTGTCATACAGCGAGTGTCTACTGACTTACACACACCAGATTATGGTCATGGTGCCCAGCATGGGTGCTATTCATTCTACTTCCTATTTCAGCTTTGTTTGATAATTTCACATGAACTGAAGTCAGCAGCCCACTCAAAACGCCCTGCATGCGCATACACACACACACACACACAGGCTAACTCACACTAAAATAAAGGAACAGCCAGGAGGATATCCCCATTTCTTCCTTATTAGGGTTTCTTTGAAAGCTTCAACCCAGAGCTGAATGAAAGGTTTCATGGAAGCCTTTCACCTCTGATCTGCTCACAATCAACCATATCTGTCATACATGGCTAGGTTTGAGAGCCAGGGGAGAGAGATGGCAGACAGAGAAGCAAGGAAAGAAAGAAAAACACAGAAAGAGGCAACAACTCCTGTAAATCGATAAGGTGTCTAGATATAGTCATGTGTCACACTAGGTGTTTTTCACTATGCATTCTGATCTGTGCTTTTCTTAGGTCAGTATACAGAACTTTGAAAAGCTTTGGGCTACTAATTGAGCTGGCTAAGTGCGGCTGGTTTGTATAGGTAATCCATACCTCTATTTCATAGAGGTGAATGAGCCCAGTAGCAAAAAACAGTGATAACTGGAGTGTTGACTATATTGTCAGTTTGTCTTTTGTCATAAAAATGTGAAAACTATGATAACACTTTATTAGCATTTTTGGTTTGCCTCTGTTTCAGCTACAGTATGACACCATATGTATCAGAGTAAACAGCAACAAACCGTCCATTAAACTGTTTGTATAGTTACAGATTCCCCACATGGCAGAGTCATGCAGATGGTCTGTGGCTAATTTCTCATTTACTTCTTTTTGCATCCAATAACAGGCTTTTCTCAAAGTGTTCTCGAATGCCTCCTTAGGACTGTACTCAGACCAGCTTGGTCCAACACGAGATCAACACAGAAGATGCTAACCTCGTCTGCCTCTGGCCGCAACGCCTGCCCTTTGTCAAATGGGTCACGATGGAGGAGACGATCAGAGAGATGGATGCAGCAGGCATCATAGAACTGTCTAGCAGCCTCTGGGCCACAGCAGCTATCTTGGTAAGTAATGACACCTGGAGATTTGGTGTGGACTATCAGTACTCAGTTCAGTGGACCTGCACAGTGGTTACTGGCAAGTAGAGAGGCTGCTCTTTCCGGAGGGCTGTAGGACTGCCAGGCCACCTTCATGCAGCTGCAGGCAGCGCTGGTGGATGCACTGATGCTGGCCTACCGAGATGTCAACCAACCATTCATCCTGGACACTGATGCCAGGGAAGTGGCAGTGGAGCTATACTGTCCCAGGAGGGGGAGTACAGTGAACAGAGTGCAATTACTATGTGACTTGGACGAAGCTGCTGACTGTCATCCTGTGGATGTTTGTGGATGTTACCACTTCCGCCATCACTTATACAGTTGAAGGTTTCTCTTGCACATGGACCATGCCTCACTACTGTGGCTGCTGAACTTCAGGGAGCTGGAGGAGCACCTGGCTCGGTTGCTCAAGATACTACAGGATTATGAGGATTATGACTTTGAGATCTACCACCAGGTTGGCTGCCTCCACACCAGTGCAGACACTCACTGTCTGCATGCAGCAGGTCAGTCCACCATGGCTTGTGGGGGGATGCCCTGCCCTAGTTGTCAACACTCAGGCGGCCTCCCTAGTGCAGGACTCGGACGTCAGCTGGGAGACCACTGATCGCCAGCAGCTCTAGAGCAACCAGGCCCAGGATCCGGTGCTCACCTGTGTCCATGCTTGGATGGAGGCAGATCAATGACCAGACTGGGCAGACGTCTCTGCCCTGGACCCAGAAACCGAGTCCCTGCAGTCCCAGTGGTCCAGCCTGGTGGTGGACCGGGTGTGTCTCAGTGGTGAGTTTTAATATGTTTTGGACAGCTATGGTCTACATCACAGGTCAGACCCTTTGCTGTGACACTCATATATTTAACTTAGGTGCTGTCCATTTCTTCTGATCATCCCTGAGATGGTTCTACACCTTCATTTGAGTCCAGCTGTGTTTGATTATACTGATTGGACGTGATTAGGAAAGTCACACACCTGTCTATATAAGACCCTACAGCTCACAGTGCAAATGAGAATCATGAGGTCAAAGGAACTGCCTGAAGAGCTCAGAGACAGAATTGTGGCAAGGCACAGATCTGGCCAAGGTTACAAAAAAAAGCTTCAGCTTTTTTACAGATGGTGTGATGTTTGCTTCCAGAATTTGCTGGTATTTAGTGGAATCCATTCTTCCCTCCACCCGTGCAATGTTTCCTGTGCCACTGGCTGCAACACAACCCCAGAGCATGATAGATCCACCCCCATGCTTAATAGTTGGCAAGGTGTTCTTTTCATGAAATGCTGCTCCTTTTTTTCTCCAAACATGCCTTTGCTGATTGTGTCCAAAGAGTTCTATTTTAACTTCATCAGTCCACAGCACTTGTTTCCAAAACGCATCGGGCTTCTGTAGATGTCCTGTTGCATACTTCAGATGTTGGATTTTATGATGGGGACGCAGATAAGGTTTTCTTCTGCTGACTCTTCCATGAAGGCCTTGTCTGTGCAAGCATCGCTGCACAGTGGAATGGTGCACCACCACTCCTGAGTCTGCTAAATCTTCCTGCAGGTTTTTTGCAGTCAAATGGGGGTTTTGATTTGTCTTTCTGACCAGCATACGAGCAGTTCTGTCCGAGAGTTTTCTTGGTCTTCCAGATCTCATCTTGACCTCCCCAGTTCCCCTGATCTGCCATCTCTTAATTACATTTCTTACTGTGGAAACTGCAAGCTGACAACGCTTTGCTATCTTCTTGTAGCCTTCTCCTGCATTGTGGGCATCAATAACTTTCATTTTCAGGGTCTTACACAGCTGCTTAGAGGAACCCATGGTTGCTGGGTGTCCGCAAGTGTGTGCACAAGGTTTGAAGAGTCAAGGTATTTGTACAGCTTTGAAATTGGCATTTACCAATGACAACTGTTGCTGTGCATCAGATCTAACGAGCTGATTAAGGTCTGAAACCTTGTGAGAGACTTTGAGACTCTGGAACTCTTAGGGTGCCCAAACTTTTGCACCATGCCATAATAATGTTTTTATTTTTTATTTTTGTTCAATTTATGGCATAAGAAGTAACTATGCATCACTGTTTGCAGAAAATATTGTGCATTTTTTCCATTTCCAAGAGAAACTGTATTAACATCTGTTCAAATAAAAAATCAACAAAATCTGTTATTTATCAAGGGGTGCCTAAACTTTTGCATAAGACTGTAACAAAGAGTGAAAAATTTAAGGGGGTCTGAATACTTTCCGTACCCACTGTACATCTAGTAATGGATTAAAAGGAAATAACCACTAAAAGGGTACTATCATAAAAATTGCCACCACAGGTAAAATAATATTTTTAAGTCCAGCTGTGTAACATGTCAGTGCATGTCTGTGTGTGGTGGTCTAATGTGTGTGAGGAAGAGAGAGAGAGAATGTAATGTGTGTGTGTGGCCTGCCCTCCATACATCTCTAATCCCTATAATAGAGTGAAGATCATGAAAGGGCCAACAGCCTGGCCAGGCTGAACCACTCTGCCATATGTAAGGTAGCGCTCTATTCTCCTCAAATTGCCATCCCCATCATTTACTGAAGACCCCCATCCCTCTATTCCACCCTTCCATCTAGCCATCCACCCCTTATGTTGAGATGATTGTTGCTTTTCTGAACAAAAACAAAAAATAACAGGCAACATGATGTGACCAGTTTCATTTCCACATAATTCCCTCATTTCCATGTCATTAATTTACCCTAAAAAAAGGAAGCTGAGCAATGGCCACGTCATGCATAGCAAAACAACAAGCTATGACTTGGTATGTTATGGAATTCTTAATATCTAAGTATTAAGTTTATCATGAATGAGTAATTAAGGATAACCACCTTGATTTGGTCAAGTATGTGACACACAAGGTTCAGTGTCTTGCCCAAGAACACTTGGACTGCAGGCGCCAAGATTCGAACCTCTGATCCTCCGGTTGGGAGACGATTGCTCTACCCGCTGAATCACAGTCGCCCCCCACAAGTCGCACCCTGTAAGGCTACATAGACTACATCCTGGCATATACTGATATGTCAGTGGGTTTTTAGATTAAAGAATACTGGAAGTAATTGCCAGTTTGTTAAGAAATGGCTATGATATTTAGTGCTGAATATCCACATAACTATAAAACATTTGATTACTAATAATAATGGTCTATTTAAGTAAACAGACTATGTCTCTGATGAGCAGTCACCAGCCACATCAACCTGACCAGTGTTTGATTCTTTGTTGTGCCTTGTTGCTTTTCTTCTTCTCTCTCTCCTCTATCCACTCACCCCAACCAACCAGTTGAGGCAGAAGGTCGCCCACCAAGAGCTGGGATCTGTCAAAGGTTTCTTCTGTTAAAGGGAGTTTTTCCTCCCTGCTGTTGCCAAGTGCTGCTCAGGGGGGTTTGTTGGATTTTTACTTTATAATAATAGCGATAACAGTAAAGTAAAGCAAGATGTCATCT